AAAATATCTGTAATTTTTGTTTAAATAGTATAATGTTTAAGAATCCTTCAATTGTTCTTTAATATGTTGTAAATGTTGGTTTAGTTTTTATTTAAGCATATTATTTTGAAAAAGAATGACTAAAAATTATAAGTAAATAAAATTTACTTTCTTAATTAAAAAATAATATTTATGTATTTTGAGTAAATTATATTAAGTTTATGTTCACATGTATGAATCTTACAGTGTAAATTAATTACATGTCTGCTCATTAATTAACTATTTTATTAAGTATTTTATTCTGAAATAGCATTAATTAACAATGAAGAACATACTAACTACCAATTGTCTATTTTACAAAGTTGGACAAGTTAATGAAAATAATTAATCGTGACAAGTTAAGTTAATTCAATTAAATTCAGCTCAGTTAAAAGTTAAAAATTAATAAAGAATTAAAAAAACTCTAGAAGTTTAAAGTTAAGATGAAAATACAATTTTTTCCAAGCTTCAATATCTTAAGTCATTAACTGCTCTATTACCTATTGAATTTAYAAAAACATTTACCAAGGCATTTAACACTGTAGAAATATTAGCTTATCATTTATATAATAAATAATGGAAAAAGATTCAAAGATCAGAKAAAAAGATTTTGTTAGGTTCACATGATACAAATAGAAAATTAACTTAAGCGCACAATAATGATAATGAATTATTACAATAGGCAATAAAACATTTAACTGAAGAAGTGAATAAGTTAAAAACAAAAATTATTAACTTATTAAATTAAAAAGTTAAAAAAAAATTAAATTTTTAACTTGACTTTATAATCCCCATCTTTGCTATTTTAGACATTCATTTAATAGTATAAAGTGTAAACCAAATTTGTAAAATTAACATACACTATTGTATCCATTTAGATGTATTTTATATAATGATTTTAGTCAGCAGAAAAAGCTAAGTAGATGTGTTTAATAACAACATACACTTGACATGTTTAAAGTGAGAAAAAAATGCACCTTTAATCGATACAGATCCTCATCCATGTCTGGGTTTTCTTGTACAGCCGCCCTGACCACCACAATGTTGTGTTTAGGCGTGGACTTCGGGGTCTTCTTCACAGATCGCTGCGATTCTACCTGCATCGATCTGCCACGGCTCATAATGCTGGGTTTCTTAGGTGAATCTAGAAATGGGTTTAGTGTTGTTCATCAAAATACGTAGTTTACTAAGGCTAGCTAATGGCACCTCCGATTGGCCGGTTGACCATGTAAGATATGTACGGCAAATCAACATCGCTGCATACGCTGTGGCCGGGCGATGTGTTCGCACTGGCCGCTCTGCTATGTTGACCATCCTGTGAATTCCGCGGCCAAGAACTCTCTGGTACCGATTTGCCCCTCTTCAGTTTCGGATTTTTCGAGCTAGATTCGGATGTGTTGGATTGCGAACTCTGTTCCGAGCCCATTTTCGAATGTGAATAGGTCTCTTTGTGGGAAACTACAGACAGTAGTCGAGCAGACCTCCGAATGACAATTACAATAATAATTTTATGAGCATTACTCAATAGTTAGGTATTAGGTTCAAATGTAATTAATTACCGACTGAGTGCCAAAACAGTGGCCATCATATTATTATCTTCAGATATTATCACAGAATATTATCACCATGATAAATAACTAATTGATTATAGTACAACAGAATATTCTGTGATAGTACAGTGCGATTGGCGCGATAAGAGATCCGTATCACAGAC